ACCTTCAATTTATGATGTAAATTGGATTGGATAGAAAAATTCCTTAATTAGATATAAAATTCCAGAATATTGTACATTCTGCGTCTGGGTGGTTGAGTTTAATATTAAGTATAATCCCGACACATGGTGGGCTGTCATTTAATAGTTGTATTTTGTAGCCCACTTAAAAAACATTTCCGTAGTTGCTAGATTGTTCACGTATAAGCTGTATGCCAGTCATTTCGAGCACTTCAGGAGCATTAGAACTCCATCAGAACCGTCTGGGATGGTTGCTGGCTGTGCGGGCCTCAGCACCACCCTAGACCCCCCGACCCGGGCTGGCCGCAGACAAGGGTAGACTGCAGTGTCATGAACTCTCGGGATCACTAGTGTCACGATTCGGGCCTGAAGGAGGCATCACGAGAGCTAGGCAGCAGTGGTGTCCCTTGTCCTTCCCATTGTGTGGTGTGTGTCATTACAAGGTGAGTGGGCTTGCACTTGTGATTCATCTGGTCTTGTCAGAGTCAGTCTTCCCTGGACGGCGTCATTGGCCAGAGGTGAGCCGGGCCCGTCTGAGTATAATGGGCTTATTTAAAATCCTGTTTCTACAAGTGGGTGGTATACTGTAATGAATTCATGAAGTTAAGGATAACATTTGATGCTCTGTTTAACCATTTAATATTGTTCTAGGTATCTTTTTTCTATTAGTATTTTCTTATATGAAAATAAAACTTACAGGTAACCCAAAAGAAGAAGGAAAAAAACTCCACAGGCTCACCTGTGCAGATGGAACCCCAGTTAACAGTTTGGATGTTTTCCTCAAAATCTTCCTTTTCATGGTGTCCATATGTTGGAGTATGTTTGTGCCTCTGGATATTTTTTTAAATGAGATCATTTGTGTATATTGTTTTCTTTACATCCTGCTTTTATTTGCTTAATAGGGTGTCATAAACATCTTTACATGTCAGTATATGTACTTCTGTAATTTTTTAAAAATGCTACATAATATCCATTGATGTGGACATTGATGTGACTATGCCACAGTTTATCTACCCAGTTTGCTACTCTTGGATTTAGGTCATTTTTTTTCCCCCAGAGGGAATGGGGGCAGGTAATAAGCCAGTGAGCCAGCGGTGGGGGGGCCAGTTGGGGTCCAGGGCCACATGGGCATTTTCTGCCCTGCTCCCTGAGGTCTGCTTTTCTCTTCTGTCTCCGCCTTGCCTGGCTCCCCAGGCCCAATGCGCATGGGACTCAGTTTCTCCCGAGACCAGACCCTGTGACCTGTGTGAATACTTGGAAGACTTTTGTATTACTCTAGCAGATCAATACACTCTAGGCTCTACTAGGAAAGTTCTAATTAGGAAAAAATTATACCTTAATTAGAATACTTTTTCCCTACATATCCTAAATATCATGGGGCGATTTTTGCTCATGCGATACGAAATAAGCTCCAACTGAAATAGATATTACAAGTATAGATACACGAGCTTTATTAGACATTGAGGAAAAGATCTATGCCACTTCCTTGTCTGCTGAAAGTCATTTAGTGTTTATCTGATGATTGTCTCGTGGTCTACGTTTGGGTCCTCGCGATAGACCCTGGACTGATCGGGCTCCACTGCTGTCGCTCGGGGCCTTATCCTCTCTTGGCCCTACAGGGGTAATAGTACTTGCCTGTGAAGCCTCGTGGACGTCAGATGAAATCAGGCACATGAAAGTACCATGTAAATTTTAGGGGAGGGGGACCCTAAAAGCACCCGTATGAATGTGGAAGGCGATGCCTTTTCCCTTCTCAGCTGATGTCTCATGAAAGACATCACTTCCCAGGCACTGTGGTTACAAGCATCCATCTCTGACTTGGGAGGTACGCTCACTTTTTCCTTACGGTCTGTGGCTCTGCCCCAGTGTGTGCAGTGTGAAGGAGAAATCCAGGTCCCTTGCACTGCTATTTAATTATGGAGATATGGTGGGGGGGGGGATCATTAAATGGAGGTAGGAACATTGGTGTCAGGGTCTGCATTTTTATGTACCAGAAATGCAAATAAGAAGGCCGGCTGAGAAGTCCTTGTCACAAACACATGGAGCATCCCAGGCGCTAGGCACTGCTTCCCGGGCCCCAGCTCTCCTCACCGTGATTCTGCCAGGCAGCTGCTGTCCCGGGGTCTCTGTTTTGCAGACTGGGGAACAGGCCCAGAGAGCTAACACATGTGTTCAGGGCTGACCAGGGATCGAAACCCTGGCTGCCTGCCTCCCTGGTCGTGCTCTTAACCACTGCACAGGTCTGCTCTAAAATACCTCTTAAGCAGTTCTTGGATGATATACATGAAAATGGAACTTGAGGAAAATGAAGACAAAAATATTGAACAGTAAAATCTTCCCTATAGCGGTGCTTTGTGCACATTTATCATCAAAGCCAGTTCACTCCTAATGTATGTAACCATGAGATAATTTTGATGACAGAAATGCGTGTTATTAAGGATAGTGGTGAAAAAAAAACCAACAAAAAAACAACGGTAGAGAATACTTAACAAAACAGAGATGTGTGTGGAGTCAAAAGAATAGAGACTTCTTTAAGCTTCAAGTCTTCTTCAGACTGTAGAATATACGAATCACCTTTTAGAACATGGTCTTTGAACATAACTTGAGGTAACAGGGTCTCCGCCCCCTTCTTGCATACCCACCGAGGGAATGAGGGAATGTAGCCTTCTCTTGGATCTCTTAGGAATGTTCCCTTGTTCTCCAAGGAATTTAAATATGTTAATAATCTCACCTCTTCATCAAAAGCCACCTACAAAAAAGGGAATTTCCCAGCTTAGAGTTCCATTTTGTCTTTAAATAAATTCTGGCCTCCTCCCTTGTGCACCCAGGCCTGAAAAAAGACTGTCTGCTTTGTTCAAAGGAGATGTTTTAGGAATTGTAGTTAAGAGCTCATAGCTATTCCACAGAAAGAATGTTGGTTCCTAAGCCGAATAGAATATGTGAAAATAGGGCAAAGGCAAAAGGAGAGCAGTGAGTACCCGTGAATAGAAACCAAGAGCGAGTCACAGAGGGACAGAGAGCTCGCCACCATGTCTGCAGTGGGAGTGCAGCGGCGAGGACAGGCGTCCGTGCCTCCGTGCCCCCAGTGCTTTGGCAGAGTGAACCTGACAGACCTATCTCCGTCCTTCTGGGTCTCAGGCCAGTGGGAGCAGCAGTGACCATGTGTGGTGCGTGAAAAGCTTGGGGACAGCAGACTGGCGGTTTCCTGCAGATTAGTGAGTCTGGAGGTGGTTGACATTTAGGGGTCCCTTCAGAGGGTGGGTACGAACTTCTAGCTGAGTCCAGCTTCCTATTCCTAGGCCATCTGTAGAACTAGAGGTTATTGTATGAAAAGTAACATTTGGGGGGCGCTTGGGTGGCTCAGTCCGTTAAGCGTCCGACTTCGTCTCAGGCCATGATCTTGCAGCTTGTGAGTCTACGTCGGGCTGTCTACGTCGGGCTCTGTGCCGACAGCTCCGAGCCTGGAGCCTGCTTCGGATTCTGTGTCTCCCCCTCTCTCTGCCCCTCCCCTGCTCATGCTCTGTCTCTGTCTCTTGATAATAAACAAACATTAAAAAAGTTTTTTTTCGAAGGTAACATTTGGCACTATTGATGTAACTTAATGACTTCAGCTAATTGCGGTAGACTCAGAAATTATAACAGGTTCTTCTACTTTAGCTTGAAACCTAAAACCGTCAGTCTGTAATTCTTACTTTTTTTTTTTTTTTCAACGTTTATTTATTTTTGGGACAGAGAGAGACAGAGCGTGAATGGGGGAGGGGCAGAGAGAGAGGGAGACACAGAATCGGAAACAGGCTCCAGGTTCTGAGCCATCAGCCCAGAGCCCGACGCGGGGCTCAAACTCCCGGACCGCGAGATCGTGACCTGGCTGAAGTCGGACGCTCAACCGACTGCGCCACCCAGGCACCCCTGTAATTCTTACTTTTAACTTTTTTTTTGCTAAAGAAAGAATCTGGTTTTTCATCATTTGAATGTTCTTACCTCATTTTTCAATTGTTTTCTATAACCATGAGTTCTAAAACAATAAAAAATGAAATATTTTTGTTTCTTGTTAGAATTTCTCTGCAAAGAATGTCCGAAAATTCACATTCACATTGACCGTATAGACAGAAAAGATGTTCCGGAAGAACAAGCACGTATGAGAAGGTGGCTTCACGAGCGCTTTGAAATAAAAGATAAGTGAGTAACACCAGTTCTTGCGCTTGAAAACCTTGGGTTCGGCTAAATTTCACTATAATACAGTCTTTTTATCTTAAGAATGCTTTTTTATAAACTCAAGTCCAATCTGTCCATGTTTTAAGCCTCACTGTTACAAAGTCCCATGAAAGAACTTATTACAGGAGGCCTCTGTTTCCATTCATGGTATTTCCTAGACACTGTTCTGTGGGGGGATATGAGATTAGATCTCTCTCTCTGCCTCTCTCTCTCTCTCTCTCTCTCTCTCTCACACACACACACACACACACACACACACACACACACGCACCCCTGCAGTCCCAGGTCAGACGAGGCGATGCTGTGGTTGAGGGCTAGCTGGACTGCCCACGTTCCCGGGAAGCGAGGCTGTGGGATAGAGGCGTTAGTCTGATGTACGTGTGGAAATGACGTGGGTGTACTGGTTGGAAGAGGAAGGGGCGGGTGACATGTTTCTGACCAAAATGTCTTTTTGCTGTTAGTATTTGGGGCCTAAATGGTTTTAGGCTTGACCTTGTGTTTGTCCATGCTAATAACATCACTTGGAGCAAACAGTGTTGACCCTTGCTGAGCGTTACCTGTAAGTAAAGTACAGGTGTGTTTAGATACCTGTCGGGTGAGGCACAGCTTAGCGTCAGGCTGAGGGAGGGGATGTGACGTGCCTGGAAGAAACAGGTGCCCCCGGGAATAGAGTATATCAGAGCCCTTTTGATTCAATATACATTTCTTTTTTTTTTAAAATGTATTTATTTTTGAGAGAGAGAGAGGGAGACACAAATCTGAAGCAGGCTCCAGGCTCCGAGCTGTCAGCACAGAGCCCGGCGCGGAGCTCGAGATCATAACCTGAGCAAAGTCGGACTCTTAACCGACTGAGCCACCCAGGCGCTCCTCCTACAGATTTCTAAAGGAAGAAATTTTAGAATCTTCTTCTGTTTTTAGGAAGATAAAAAGTGCATCTCAGTTTTTATTTAATACTTAAAAATTGAGTTTTCTTGGGGGAAAATTTTAGGATATATTATTTATTTTCTGTTTGTTTGCTGTCAGTGGAGGTTTTTATCCTTTCTGATACATACCCTCTTTTTTGAAAGGTCCGTTTTAAACATCTCTATTTTTTATCCTCCTTTTGAAAAAAATGGGTCCACTAATTACGGGATGCATCATTTACTAAAACCACATTGAGACGTGTGGAGTTCTTACAGACTCAGAAGTAAGACTTCCAAAATTATGTTGAGAAATTTTACTTACTTCCTTCTCCTGACACTCAGCAGATTGCTTCGTGCCCCCTGTCTTGTTGTTTTACAGTAAAATTATCTCCTCATTAGTCCTTCTATGTTAACTCTAAGAAGTGAAAATTACTGAAAGTGTGCTGCATTGAAAATGAAACTTCGTGAAGCTTATAGACAAGTAGCTGGATTCCTGTGTTCTGTTGACTGTCACTTGCATGTGACAGAATTGATTCAGCCAACCATTGATGCCACCCACTTTGGTTGTGGAAGAAATTTCGAAAAGTGAAATACAAGTGTTTTGACATGAAAATCAGTTCTCAGATAAAAAGCCTGAACAATATGTTTAGTTATCCAATGTATTTTGTGGTATCGGTGCTTATGTGTACTTAGACTGAGTCTGGACGTTTTGAAACAGTGGTTACTTTAGGGAATGTGTTCTGGTAAAAGAAGCATTTTCCGTTTTTTATTTGTGTTTGAGAGTTTTATGCTGAGTCTGTTCTGCTGTAAGTTTATATTTTTTAAGTAAGATAGGAACATGAGTTAACTAGGCTGTTTTTCTAATTCCATGCAAATAAGGTGTTTGGGGGGAAACTCCATATATGTTATCAGAACTGCTGATCTTTTCCTTGACTTTCTGGTAGAATGGGAGGTTTAGGAGGAAGGAGGAAGGATTCGGGAAGCGAGATGGGTTATTACCATGTGTGAAAAATTATTAAAAACTTAAAGTTAAAAGACCAAAATCATCCCCATAAATTTACTGAAAGCCATCTTTTAAAAAATGTACATATAATTCATCTACACTAATCATGAGCATATTAAATATATTTTTCAGGTCTGGAAACTCCAATTAAATCAAGTCCCTGGGTATTTTCCTTATTCATCTTTAGTTCCCAAGGACCTGTAACTTCTCCAGCATGTAATTATCATCTAGTAGCTCTCTGTTAAATTAAAATCTTAAATGACTAAACCTGAAACTTTACATTTCTTTTTTTCCATTCTGACCCTAGGTTGCTTATAGAATTTTATGATTCACTGGATCCAGAAAGAAGAAACAAGTTTCCCGGAGAAAGTGTTAATTCTAAATTAAGTCTCAAGAAGACTTTACCGTCATTACTGATCCTAAGTGGCTTGACTGCTGGTATGCTTATGACCGAGGCTGGAAGGAAACTCTATGTGAAAACGTGGGTTTATGGAACCTTAATCGGCTGCTTGTGGGTTAGTATTAAAGCGTAAACAAGTAGCCGTGTCCAGGCAGTGGAATGTGCTACGCGGTTTACTGTTGGCAGCCACACGGGACATCAGATTGTTGCCTGAATTTAATGAGAAGTGTAAATAAAGCCTTGTTGATTGAACATTGGATAAAATAGAATTTCTGACTAAAGCCGACCTGCAGGTGGTCTTGGGCAAACATACGTGGTTTTGCAACTTTAGAACGAGCTGCTGGAAGGGGAAAGCTAACCTCTGTGCCATCCTTGGTGTTTCCGTGATCTAGCGTCGTCTTCAGAAGATGGTTAGGATTGTATGCTTTGGTATCGGTTCGTGACTCAGATGGCTGCATTCATGAACGTTAATTTGCAGCGTATTTCACCGTACTCGTTATTTTTAGTTTTTTACAACCTGACTAGTCCCAACTCTCATCACCGAAGTATTTAGTATCTTGCAGCTGTGTACTGTTTTGCCTTTTGCTTAATGTCTCCAAGTGGATGAAGGAAATTGTATTTATGTATCAAGAAGGATGCAAGGAAAAGGTCAAGAAATGTCTGCGGGGAAGAAGCTGTGGTTTGCGCATGCTTTGATTGTAGTGTATTATTAGCTGATTTTATTTTCTCTTTGCAGAGTAATTAACATGTCTAATATTTATTGAAGCAGCTTAATTTGCACGCCCTGCATTGTACACAAAAGGATAATGTGTCAGATGTGAGCGTTGAGTTTCGGTTGGAGGCGTGACCCTGGCCCGCTGTCGCGGCACTTGACGCTGCCCAGCGTTCTGAAGAGCAAAGCGGAGCCCTCAGTACGTCCCAGTGTCTGTGCCAGAATTGCTTAAAAGCCTTCAGGCTTCCTGTTATTTTTACATCAAAACAATCAGTGTGAACCTTGGTGGGACCTGAGTCCACAGATGCTTGAGGTGATGGGAGCCTTCAAACGTCCGCCTGGATTTCCGAGCATGTGCCTTTTGCCTATTATTACTCTTGGGTTCGGCGGAAGTCTTTTCTTTTCCTGTCATCACGGTCGATTTCCACTGTGTTTGAATTCTTTTCCTCTGGATTCCTGGCAGCGTGCTGCTCGGTGCCTGGCACAGGACGGGCGCAGGGGAGAAGCATGGAGCCGGCCTCGGTCCTGCTGCGGGTTGAACCTGGTCGGTGAGGCTCTCTTGAGCCCGCCCCAGTGGCTGCGGCTAAGATGCTCGTCTGTCTCCCTCCTCAAGCCAGTGAACCACAGGCTCAGCCCGCGAGGCCCGGATGAACTCGTGGAGTCCCCACTAGTTTTAGTGGGGAGTCCCCACACAGTTCATCCGTGCCCCCTCAGAACAAGAGCCGTTTTCAGTCAGGAAGTAATAACTATGGCCTGTGGCTGACTTAAACTTGATTGTTGCCTACTAGTCCCTTAAGGTAACATTTCTGCCTAATGGATTTTTGTTGTAAACTCGTGCCAGTGCCCCCAGATGAAACACACCAACTGAACCATGATGAGCAAAATGAAAATAATAAGTAAGGGAAATTTTGTGTGACTGACTCTCCAGACCCAGAGAGCAGGCCGTGTGAGACAGCACCTTTGAAGCTCTGGGTAGTCTGAACTGGTGTGTGTGTGTGTGTGTCTGTGTGTGTGTCTGTGTGTGTGTCTGTGTGTGTGGGGGTGGACATGTGCCCGCAGGATATGGTTGGTCTCCTTATGCATGGGGGTGTGGGTAAAACTTCTGAAAAGTGTTCCCATGCCAAATTGTGATTTTCTCTTACCTGTAAAGTGAGATTTAAATCAGTCTCACCGTCTTTGTTAATACTTTTTTTAAACAGTCCTAAAGATTGAACCGATTTCTAATTTATTCAAAGTAAATGTAAGTTGCGTAACTTACTTTGAATATCATGGATATGCTCTAAATTTAAACTTTAAGAAGAAATATCATTGGAATTATGTTGATTATAACTGATCATAAGAAGTTACAGTGAACTGCATAAGATCACTTTGAACATCATGTCTCTTATGACCATACTTATATTCTCACAAGAGTTCTATAAGATATATTTGTTAGTTTAAAAATTTTGTATTAAAATATTTGGAAATTAGAAGCTTCTTTTTAACATGTGTTGATATGACTTGAATTCTTACTTTCTAAAGTTAGGAGCCCTGGATCTCCCTGTAAATCTTTTCACATATCTTTTAAGCCTGTGTTTCTGTTATTATTGTTGATTTGCAGCTTAGTTATTACTTAGTTTTTCTTTATAAGAATGCCATCAATGTGCATGCTTTTATGTTTTCCAGAAAAGGGTGTGTTTGGATGAAAGTAAAAGAAAAAATAAAATCTTTCACTGTCTCTAATGTCTGTGCTATTTAACATTTTGCGACCCAGAAACTCCCCATTGGTCTTCTGTTACGTTGACTAGGCTTCGTGGCTGGTCTTGCATTCTGAATTTATAAAATTATAATATTTTTTCTTAAATATTGAACAAGTATAAAAAATACAGGACTCAAAATTGTGAAGCAATATATTAGTTTTGTTATATAAACTCATATTTTATACAATGAATATAGCAAGTACTAATTGCTTGAGAATTCTGTAATCATTAGGGTATCTCACTGAGACTTGTCCAATGCCTAAATTTAGCCGGGTTGGTAGGGAGAGTAACGATCTGACTGGTCCTTACATCACACATACTGCTGCCTTCTTCCAGGTTGGTAGAGAAAGGGCCATCTGACTGGTCCTTACATCGTACATACTGATGACTTCTTCCATTTATTTCATTTCCATGGGATTTTTTTTCATTTATAGTCATACCAACTTTCCTTCATATCCAGATTATGTAAGCTTTATTTTTCTTTTGTAATGCTGTGTGGTTTGTTTTTACATTCAGTGAATGAATCTTTGTCAGTAAAGTGATCTTTTAAATAGATGGGCCATTATAAAAATACAGTCTATATGAAATTTGTCCTCTCCCAAAATGTGCCATCAGGAATAGATACAAAGGGACTGCCAGATACATATCTGACTCATTTAAGAAGCTCGAGAAATGTCTGTCACGGTGCTATTTCGTGTGCACAATTGTAAATGTATAGTACAAATAGATTTTAACCATAGTAGTATTTGTTCTTGACGTATTAGATGAAAGACAAGATGGCCAACACTCCAGATACCACCGGGTAGTAAGTTACATATCTTTATAAGTAGGTTTTGGGGGGCAGGGGGAGGGGTTAGACCAGTTTTTATTGTGAGTTACACATACCTTCAGATTAAAGACTGGCTGACTTAGAATGTTGCCTTATCAGTTAGTATGCTTGGCATTATACAAATTGTTAATTTGAAAACGTTCAGATATTTGATATTATATAGGTAAAATAACTGTGTAATCAAATTTAAAATTTCCTTCAGATATCTGTACGTGGTAGATCTACAGTTACTGACTTAGTTGAGAGTAGTTAACGGCATGACATTATCCCCAGGATTTCATTTGACACATTTTCCAATTTGTGGGCAATGAAGTAAATCCATAACTTTTACCAACCGGGGAGTCATTCTTGGTGTAGTCGTGCATGAGGTCAAAGAGACAAATACCTTATCCTGAGCAGGAAAAAAACACAAAGTTATTTTTCAGAAAGCCACTCCAGATGGAAAGCTTGAGTTATTTCTGTTGTTAAAGGAAAGTAGGATCCTGTAGGTGATACAAACTCGCAGTGAATGTTTTCTGATGGTCCGTTACTCCATCCAAATTAGTAATGGCTCATGATTTTGTATGTGAATATGTAAGAAAGACCTGTTCTGCAATTTTATTTTTATAAATCATTATGTCCTAAAAAAAAAAAAAAACAACAACAAATGCTACTGATACTCTGTGTGTGTTCAGCAGGAGGGAATATTTGACTAACAGTCTTGGCTCCTTATGATGTGTTCGGAATAAATTGTGATTTCTGTTCTCGAGTTTATTGGTGCTTCATTAATCCAGAAAAGAAAAAGGAAAGTCTAAATCTCAGAAGTTACTTGGTGATACATAATACATCTATTTCACGATAGTCATTTCACGTATATGTGATAATATGTATGTTTTATATACGTATATGTTTTACTGCCAAACAATAGCTACAGAATACATTATTTTAAGATTTTACTTTGTTTTGATACTTGCCAAGATGTGTTGAGTGCTCGCCGTCTGCCGGGCAGGGTGCTAACCTCCTCTGAGGCTCTCTCCCTCCACACACGTGGCCCCCAGGCCGCAGGCCGGCTCAGCCTTGAGGTCAACAGCTACAGGCCGAAGACCAGTTTTGGGTCCTGCTTTGACCACTCGGGATTCAACCTCGGACAGGTTAATGTTTCGGTTTCCACTTCACGTTTCTGTTGAAAGTTTCCCAATTTTCTCTTCTGTCAAATAGTGATAATAATTAATATATTTACCTCAAAGGGTTGCTGATGATGCAGTAAGTTACCAAACCTCTGGATGTAGGTAGGGCATGAAATGTGGCAGGTGCTAATTAAATCTTGTCCTGCAACTACTCTTGCTCCCAATTTTACAGCCGAGAAAACGGAGACTTGGAGTTTGAATAAAATACCTGAAGTCACACTAATATTTCTAGTAGAAAAATGTCTGCCCACTCTTTCCTGCTTAACAAAGATGTATTTCATACCACCTAAATGCCTTTAGAAGTAGATAGTCATGGGGCACCTGGGTGGCGCAGTCGGTTAAGCGTCCACGACTACAGCCAAGTCCCGCGATCATGATCGTAGTTGTGAGCCCAGCCGGGCTCTGGGCTGATGGCTCAGAGCCTGGAGCCTCAGAGCCTGTTTCTGTTCTGTGTCTTCCTCTCTCTGCCCTTCCCCGTTTACAATGCTCTGTCTCTCTGTCCCAAAAATAAATACTTGAAAAAAAAAAAGTGAATAGACCAGACACCTGGGTGGTCAGGTTGGTGTCAGCTCTTAGTGATAATTCACAGTTCCAGAGTCATGGGATCAAGCCCCGTGTCAGGGTCTGTGCTGAGCACGGAGCCTGCTTAAGATTCTCTCTGTGTCTCTCTCTCCCCTGCTTGTGCTCTCCCTCTCTCTCTAAAAATA